GAGGAAGAATTCGCAACTGCAGTTGGATTGAGGTGAAGAACAAAGTACACATGCTTTTGGCTGGAGATAAATCGCTTCCTCAAATGGCTCAAATCATGGACAAGTTAAATAGATTGAGCATTGAAATGAAGAAAGCAGGTTACTCGCCGAATACCGACTATGTGCTACAAGATGTAGAGGAACAGGAGAAGGAGCATATCTTATGTGGGCACAGTGAGAAGTTGGCTGTAGTTTTTGGTATTCTGAATACGAGTCCAGGGTGGCCTCTGAGAGTCACAAAGAACCTAAGAATCTGCGGAGATTGCCATGCTGTTATTAAATGTATTTCTAGGTTCGAGAGGAGAGAAATTTTCGTCAGAGACACAAATCGCTACCATCACTTCAAAGATGGTGACTGCTCGTGTGGGGATTATTGGTGATTTGAGTTCTCTCTGGGGTAAAGAAAAACCTCCAGCAAAAATACTCCTGATTCTTGGCCTTGGACTTGCGAGTATCTACTCCGAGGACGAACCCCTTGGGTTTGCTAACTGGTGAGTTTTAAGCAAAAATAGTTTGGTAGATTATTGTAGTTTAAAGTTATCTATTCATTCTTGTACATGTATATCAGTCTTTGCTTGCATGACTCATTGAAATAATCAATACTATGCATTCTCCTGAATTGTTTGCATTTAAATGACTTTTACGGCACGAACACATGCTCACTTAAAAGCATAGTCTACATTTAAGGCGGTTAACTTTTGCAAATTAAAGCCGTATTTGTATAAAGTATTGACAGCGCGACTGGTATTTGAATTAGATCCGAGCTCGCGCAAAGTATCTTGGTATTCCACTATTAGGAGATGATGTGTACGGAGGAATCAAGAACATTCAGTCAAGGAACCGTAGTAGTTATCACGAGCAATTTCAGCAACTTGTTGCTAGATTAGAAAGGCCTTGCCTTCATGCTTTAAGACTCGGGTAAGCTTAATCTATCTGGTACCTTCTCTTCATTACTAATAATATTGTAATAATACATGTTAGTAGTGTGTAATAAGCTTCTTGTTGTTGAGGTCCTGCATTTTTCTCAGATACGACGTATTGATTTTGCTGAGATCCTGGATTTGCTTCAGAACATTGGCACATTGAAGGCAACATTTTTCAACAAATCGCAACTTTTTTTGCCCTTGCTAATCTGAATTAAAGTGTATTAGGAAAAAGTGATAAGTGCTCATTGGTCGATTCGGTAAAGAAAATGCGAGAGCTATACCAACAACAGAAAGAAAGAGACTCTCTTGCTAGAGATTGGATTGCAACTGCAGCCCCACTACAACAAAAAACATCTATTACGACATATAGTTAGAGACACTTTTTCACAAGCGTCCCAAATAAAGGATATTGGGACACTTCATAAATTGCATCTAATTATTTAACTTATCGGGGCACTTATACCTCAAATTGAATTTGCGCAAAAAAAAAAAAAAAAGATTATAAAATAAATTCTTGTTTATTAGTTCCATTTTCTTTCCATCTCATTTAATCTCCCAGCGTTCCCTTCTTATGCACCGAACGTCTCATCTCCTTGAAGTCGAGAATTTCTTGATTAAACTTATGAAGGTAAGATCTCTTTTCTATCTTACGATTTTGTGTCTCTCTCCCATCCTTTTAATCTTCTGAAACTAGGGTTTAGAAACAAAATTTTGAATTGGGCGAAACGAAGTTAGGGCTTGAAACGTTTTTCCCAATTTTCATTTGACGGCAATCAATTTCTGTTTCTCTCACCTATATATTTCTGTTTAATGAACATTTAAATTCGACGAAAATGGTTTAGGGCAAGGATTATGAAAGTGTTTCCCCATTTGCAGTTCGACGGCAACAATGTCAGGAATGTTCGAGCGTTGATGAGTTACGATGTAAGAGTTTAATAAAACAAATTCAGCTATGGTAGCAATGACAATGAAAGGTATTGTTTTTTCTTTCTTTTGACAAATGTAAATTTACCTTATTATATGTATTTCTTGAACTTCTCCGAAGAACTAGCTTGAGAATTTTTTATGCTTAACCATGATTTTTCACTTTTGAAAGGAAAATGCATGTGACTTGTCCGATTTTTCACTCTAATGTGATGAGTGCTTTGATTTGGTCCCCGATTACCACCTAGCTATTATAAATTTTGGTAATGGGATTGATTATATAACTGATTAAATTTTGCTATTCCAAATATGATTTTTATTGTTAAGAAGAATACATCAAGTTAATTTTTTTTTGTAAGAAAAATTAGTTTGTACTGCTAATAAACAATTGATGGGGTCTGTATAACTAAGTTTAAGATTGAATATGGGATTTTGATGTTGGAGTCCTTGAGAAATGCATTTACTGTGTTTTTCTTGCCAATATATTTCTCCCCACAATGTTATTGGATAGTAACCATAAACAAATATCATGTTTGTTAATTACTCTTATCTAATTGGTATTTTGTTTTATTTTTGCATCAACTGTTATTTTAATGGAATAAAAATATTAAGACTAATTGTAGTATATGTTTGGTTATTTAGGTCCCTTAGGAGATGTCTCATGTGCTCTGGCTAGTGTGCATCAGATTGCATAATCTCTTTATTACATCTGAGTATGGCGATAATTTATTTAACGAAGTGATCTTATTACTGAGACTTATCTTAAGCAACAGGTAATGTAATACTCAACTTTATTCTTTTCTTACCTGTTTTCTTCGTGATAATTGTTTAAAAAAATTTGGTTGCTACAGGGGAAGGCTGATTTTTAACAAACCTATAATGAAGACTATTCGGGTATTATTTGTTTTCAATTATAGTTCCTTATAAGACTATCTTTCATATTCTTTGTTTTGTACTTGTGGCATCAAGAGATGTACTGTATCTTTTACTGTTGATTAATTGTGTGTTGAACTATGTCATGTCTTGTAGACCTATGATTTAAGGATTTTGATTTAGTCTAGAAACATGGCAAGAGGTTAGAGTTTACATTTGCATTATGTTCATCCGCTATCTTATTTATTTTTGCAGAAGGTGTTGATTAAGTTGAATGGTATCAGGTGAAAAAAAAAGGTAAGAATAAATTTCTCGTATAATTATGTTCAAACAATTGGAAGGCTCTTGGAATACATATTATTTGGGCCGTTTTACTGGTATGTATTATTTTATTTTTTCCTTATCTTCTGTAACTTTTTAATTTTTTTTATGAGGTATTAAATATAATTTGTTTATGCTAGGTAGAAAAAAAAAAGGAATTTCCCCAATGATTATATTCAGATAAATAAGAGATGGTATGTTATTTTGCATTTTTATATGTTTACTCATTAATGAAGGCACTATAATTTGTAACTTATTTTTTTATTCCTTCGTGATGTTTTTTTTTCTTTCCTACAGGTTGCTTATGCAATTGCTTTGAATGATGAATTTTATTGTTGATGCAAGCCATCTAGAATATGATGGGAGCTGAATCATACTGTTGAAGTTTAGAGTTGCTAGAGATTAAAAGTTTAGTTAATCAAGATATTCAAATTTTACATTATAGGACTATGATTCCATAATGTTGGTTGGTTTGGAAGATCCTTTGTAGTACTATGATTTTTCTAAGTTGAATATATTTGAAATTTTTGTTATGAAAATTGAGATTATTGTTATGTTGTGTTTGTTATTTAAATTTGTATTTTATATATATTTTAGTTATATTAGCAGGTGTACGCAGCGGAAAACAATTTTTTTATTTTATTTATATAAAACTAATTTATATACTTATCAAGCACGTGCACAATAAATTACAATTAATTGCGTACCTTTTCGCTTCCAATCACCGACAAACATGCTCGCATATATAATTTATTTAAATAACATAAATTAAATCATCATAGCATGCTCCCGAAATTAAAACAAATAATATACATGCTCAACGAACGATTCACATAATCACATAATCGAACATATAGATTCATGTGATTCAATAATCAATTAACATACATTAATCTCAATTAATATAAATTAATTAATACATGTATATTAATTAGGGAAAACGATATGTTACCCTTGAAGCGTGAATCGAACGAAGACTCGAGAAGATGACTAGCTGCTCTTCCCACTCATACTGATTCAACCTGTTTGGTGATCTGAAATTATAGTCCTGCTCCGACTTCAATATCTCCAGGGTTATTTATTGGATGGACAATTCCTTCTGGAAGATTGTAGACTTATGAGTCTTGAAGCTTTTTTCAAAATTTCACGTTCATCCGATCACCATTTGATTTATGGCGAATATTCTCGCTGGACTCCGCAGAAAATCCGAGAGCAGTTTTTCAGAATTGCCTTCTCGCATCACCGGCTTGTGGCGGTCAGTGAACTCATCACCTTATGATTACCCACTTATGTATGCCGATGTCACAACACCGTTGAGTGATGAGATGCAGTACACATACACTAAGTGCTAGTCTCGAATGGGGAAGGCCGATATCCTCATTAGTGGCGTAACCCGTTAACTAGGAACGGTGTTTAACAGTTACTATACTTAAATAAATAATCTCACGTTCTACTAGATCTATTTACAGTAATTAAGTAACTGCAAGGACTACATCTATGCTTGTGCAAGGGACAAAGATATAGAATGCCAAAGGGTTTTTTTTTCATTAATAGGAAATAGATTATTTACGAGTAGCGTGAGAAAACACTGCAATTAGTTGGCTCTTCGGTCACCTACTCTAACAATAACATTCAAAGAGATATCTACTTGAATTCCGATTTCACTGATTTAAGTTTTGTTTAATAGAGAAAACATCGACCCACCGTTATGTGTTTGATGATGCTCGGCTGTCGATTGCTCAACTGAAGAGTTGTTTTAGCCCAAGAGAGTATATAATGTTGACAGTCATTGCCGCATGTGTGAGGTAGTCGAAGAGGAGAACACCGCTCGTTAACCTGCAAAATAAATCATGAAAAATTCTAGGTGACACGCAACGGGTGGCTCGACACTTATCCTCCGACACTCACTCCGAAATCGGTTGGAGAGTATAAGCAATCAAACCTTTAACTTTTGAAAATAGAACTTTGATTCATATGCAAATGAACTCGATTATTTATAGGTAATGAAGTAGAATATTTCAATTGTGACACTAACGTGAACAAGAAACATAAGGCGTATGTCTCCCCATAAGCTTTTGAGAAGACTTCACATTATGGCTTTCCGTTGGTCTTTACCCTTCAATGAGGTAATGGGCCACCGAAGGTATTTCCGAAAGACAACTATCTTATCCTAGA